AATTGCTAAAAGTTCTCTGTGTAATAAAAATTAGCAAGAACCACCTTGTGTTGTGCTTACAAAGCCCACTGCCCCTTTACTGCAAAATTTGATGTTGAATTTAATCGGATGAGCTAAACTATCCTAGTGAATTTTTAATAACATTTTAATTTTAGAAGAAAAAATCTATAAATTCAATAGAATAAAATTAAAAGAAATTGAACATGAAAAATGTTCTATTTTCTTCTCACTTCCGTGCACGCAAAACCTGCCTCCTTCCTCATCCAGCATCCGCCACCGTACCACGACCCACCAGATCAACCCCCACCCTAAACAACTTCTCCATTCACCAGTCCATATCAGCGACAACCTCTATTTCACCTTCGACGAAAAAGTTGGCAAGAAAAATCCAAAAACCTAAATACATGTGGCGCAAGCAGAGATTGGCGACTGGGGCTTCGAGTGAAGGCAACAACAGAGCGACGGGGGCTATAAAATACACACTCAATGTAGTCTTGCTTCATTCTACTTATTTGTTATGAATTTTTATTTAATTTTGTTGCATATTTTTTGATATGGGTGGCTTTGTTTTGGTAATATTGTAGGTGGTGGTTTTGTTTTGATTGGTGGTTCGGGTTGTGATTTACTTTATTTGTATAAAAAGAAAACCATTAGAATATGGAAGCGGGGTGGTGATGGTGTGGCGTGCGGAGACGTGGTGACAATACATAGCAGATCTAGGATTTTTTGGTGGACTGGGCGGAAGATGGCGCAGAAAGAGAAATTCGCGCAGGCTGGGCCTTTAATTGACTATGTTCAATAGTCGATTACGGCTTAATCGACTCCAATTTTTAATTTTTTTTTTTTTGGCTTTTTTGTTTATTTATTCCAATTGTATAAATCAATTATAATGTTTGTATATTTTTTGTTTTTGTAAAATATAGTTGATTTTGCATTTTTTTTTTGTAATTGTGATTTGTTATTTTTAGTAGTTAGATTCTAATAGACTATACTTCATAAGCGGTTAATGTGACCTAGTAGTTAGATTTTTCTTTTTAAATATTTGTTTTTAATAATTTCCTTTATAATTGACTATGCTTATGAAGCACAGGTGATTAATAAAACTGATACATAAAAAAAGTTAAAAAAATGGGGGAAAAAACAGTTGATGACTAGCGCATGACGCAATGATGATGTGAGCGCTTGACGCAGTGATGATATGCCGGGCGGGGACAAAATTGGAAAAAATAATGGTTGAAAATGAGTGTGGATTTTTCTCAAATGGAGCAAAATATTTTGGCCTCTCACCATTAAAAGAAGTAATGGGTAGCTCAACTGGTTCGGGGTAGTAAGTTGGTACAAGGTCTTAGGATCGAATCCTGACAACCGTAATGTGAGAATTTCAACTCCAGTGAGGGTTGATTCCTTGTGGGCACCAGGTCCGAATCCGCTATCCTAACGGGCCGTTGAGTTACCATGATTTACATTCATCCATCAAATACTTGTCGCACCGAGGGATGGGGCCCTGGGGGCGAGGGTATTTCGCCTTTTGGTACAAGTAATGGGGGATTTTCTCAAAGAAACTCTAATTTATATTACAGACAATTTTCACATCTAATGGAAATTATCATGGGTTAATGGCAAAGAGGTCCATGACAAGGGCACTTAATTAAAAAATGGACATCCAAGTTTTTCGTGTTTCAAATATTTCCAGCTCATTCAAACTTATTTGCAAATAAGAAAAACCTTTTTATATAAACCAAAATTACCCCCAATTCATTGAAACTCAATTGAACTTCAATTTCATGATTTACACCCCCAATTTAGCCAAAGTCTACCAATTAACCAAGACCCTTATTCCAGATTTGACCCATCACCGCCGGAGACCGCCAGAGACCGGCGTTGACTTTTTTTTTTTTTTTTTTTTTCTGGCAGCTCAACCTGCGTTGACTTGTCTCCGACGTTGATTTATTTATTTAATTTTATTTCAATTTTGTTTTTCTTTCTTAAAAACATATTTTAATTAATAATACTGTCTTGGTTGCTAAATTATTGTCTCCACCAGTAATTTAACTGCCGGAGACAGTAATTTAACTGTTAATTGACTTTTTTTTTTCTCTTATTTGTTTTTGAAATTTTGTTTTTTCTTAAAAAAAATGTTTTAATTAATATTATTGTTGGGACAATAATATTAGTAATATTATTGTTCGAAAAAATAATATTCATAATATTATTGTCCCAAATAGTAATTTTACTGTTTGGGACAGTAATATTAGTAATATTACTGTTTTGGTATTCAATATTACTGTTAACGTCAATTAACAATTAAATTACTTTGTCCGATACTTAAATTACTGTTGTAGACAGTAATTTACAGCCAAGACAATAATATTAATTAAAATATTTTCTTTAAAAAAAGTTCAAAAAAATCCTAAAAAAAGTCAACCTCGGAGAACGGCAGTTGACTGGCCGGGAAAAAAATTCAGGAAAAAAAGTTTTCAAAAAAAACAAAATTGTCGACGTTGGAGAACCGCCTGATCAACGCCGGAATCTGGCCAGAAAAAAAAATTAAAAAAAAATTATGAAAATAGAGTTTAATGGGATATATTTGTTTCAATCCGGGGTCAATGTGTAATATTGAGGAAGTTAGAGTATAATGAATGGAATTGATAAAAATTATATTATGGACGGCATTTTAGATAAAAGACATGGGATGAGTTTATTTGGAAGACTGTTTTTTGTGCGGATCAATGTGCTTTTAAACGCCTTGTCATGTCCCTCTTTACCATTTGACAAACTATCATTGCACAATTATTTAATTGGACCACCTGGTACAGTGAGTTATCTTCTAATAATAAGCCATGATAAAAATAATTTTCGGAATCCACCCAAAAAAATTATTAATTAGCCAAATATCAAACAAAATCTATTATTTTGTTAATCTTCCCTAATCTCTCTACCTAACGCAATAATGCATATCAAATAAGCATTTTAGTATTGTGTGGAACATTGGATACAATTCAACCACTAGTTTGTTTAATATTTAATTTAAATAATTCAGGGACATGTAATTTCCACATTCAAAATATGTTATTTCACCGTCAAATTAAATATATTTTCTATTTTACTGTTTTCTTCTTCTTTCACCTATATTATGTACAAACTCATGAGCCAACCACCACTAAACTAGTTAGGATATTTATATATAAAAAAAAAATTCACACTTTCTTACTGAAATATTTACCACAAAATCCTACCCTCTCCACCTTCAGCGAACAATATTTTCTTCAGAGAAAAACATCTCCAAAAGTCAAAAAGAGCAGGAATTCACATTCTTGGAGAAATAAATTAAGAGTTGCATGGAAGGTCTTGAACTTCCTCAAGAATTGGCTAGTTTGGCATAATAGTATTTCATTTTCTTAAAAAAAAAACATATTACATAATATGCAGTTCATCTGATATGAAAGTTTAAATATCTTATAATAAATATTTCATTTTAATAAAAAAAACAAAATAAAAAGAACTTAGAACATAGGAGGATTAAGCAAATATTAAAGAGTGGTGGATTAAAAATTAAAGAAATATTTGTGATATTTATATATTTATGGTGGTGAATTGAAATACTTTGGAGATAGAAATAGCGCGTTACTTATTTAATTGAATAATTGAATAGTTGTCCTTAAAGTAATTATTGTGCTTGTCTACTTTTTCTTTTTCTTTTGGGTAAATTGCATTTAACCCCCTTGTGGTTTGGACAGTTTGCACATGACCCCCTTATGGTATGGATTTAGGCACATAACCCCTTGTGGTTTTGACATTTTGCATATGACCCCCTTATGGTATGAAATTAGGCACATAACCCCCTTGTGGTTTTGAAATTTTGCACATGACCCCTTTATGGTATGAAATTAGCACATAACCCCTGAATAAAAAACTGAAAATGACGAAATTACCCCTATCAAGTCAAAAATTCTTGTTTTAATTTAAGATTAATTATTCTATAAAATGAAAAGGTTAATGTATGTTTTTGTAAAATGAGAAATATAATATATTATTGTGTTTTTTTCTATTTTACCGCTCGTATATATATTTTTTAAATTTTATTTTCATTTCAACTTTAGAGAAATGTTTTTTTTAGATTTTTCCAAAAGAATAAAAAAATAAAGACTTTGTTTCTTAAAAAAATTAAAGTTCAATAACAGCTATAATATAATATATTATATAGAAAATAGAAATATAATAATCATAATTAATGATAATGTTAAAGATTTTCAAATTGATTTTTAAAATCGAATAAATTGTCAACCGTACAATAACTAGTATTTTATACCATTCGTACTATAAAATAAAAAAGAAACACAATAATATATTATATTTCTCATTTTACAAAAAGGTACATTAAGCTTTTCATTTTATAGAATAATTATTTTTAAATTAAAACAAGAATTTTTGACTTGGTAGGGATAATTTAGTCTTTTTCAGTTTTCTATTCAAGGGGGTTATGTGCTAATTTCATACCATAAGGGGGTTATGTGCAAAATTTCAAAACCACAAGGGGTTATGTGCCTAATTTCATACCATAAGGGGGTCATGTGCAAAATATCAAAACCACAAAGTGGTTATGTGCCTAAATTCATAACATAAGGGTGTCATGTGAAAAATGTTCAAACCACAAAGGGGTTAGGTGCTATTTACCCTTTTCTTTTTTCGTTTCTTTCTTTTTGTAAAAAAATGTCACTACCCTTTCCTATTGCCACTTTTATGAAAAAAAAAAAAAAATACATAATTAGCGGTGTGAAGAAACCAGTTCAACGCAATCAATCAATCAATCAAACTGCATTTTTATTTTTGAAGCCCCAAACAGAACGCAAATTATACGATGCCCAACCAAGACTTGTTCATTTCATTATGCAATCTCATATTTCCATGTCGGAATCTCATCACACACGAACAAGAATCTGCTTCTTCTTCTTCTTCTACCACTGTAAGTGAGCTGCCCACTTCTGTAATTCTTCAGATCTTCTTCAAACTATCAATCCAAGATATTATCCGATGTAAATGCGTCTGTAAATCATGGCACAACCTAATTTCCGAACCCTATTTCAATAATACATATCAATTGAATTATCCCTTTACTTCTATTGTGCGCTCTGACCACAAGACTGTTACCAATCCACTCGATCACCAGTCTTTCTACATTCTTGAAATTGGGTTAAATGACGAGGTTACCCCTACACCCTTTTCCCCAAATCTTCTCGATTTTTCCGGAGATGGGATAATCGGAATAACGGGCTCGTGCAACGGTCTACTCTGCTTGGTAAAGAGCCCGCAGCTCGAGAACGAAAGCCGCGGAAACTACGTTCACAACCGCGATAGCATATACAATAACCAAACTGTCTGCATTGTCAATCCCTTGTTGGCGGGAGGATGCGTGTTGCTTCCGGACGTTACGCGTGCCGAGAATATCCGTGACGTGGTTTACGGGTTTGGTTCGAGTAAATCAGCAAATGTATACAAGGTGATTCGGCTCGTTATTAAGTATGTTTTCGTTGGTGTCGGGCACGAAATTAGGGTGTCCGGTGAGATTTTCACGATTGGGGTTGATAGTAAATGGAGATTTTTTAAGGATTCGTCGATTCCTTGCTACACTTTCCCATGTGGTGTTAGCCTTGACGGAATTGTTCACTGGATGGGTGACGATAGGCGGTCTGGTCTTATTTATGCATTTGATATCGCACGAGAGAAAGGGAATCGTATCCCGATTCCTCAGGGTTTGGGAGATGATGCCGGGAATATTGTACTGGCTGTATGGAACGGGAAACTTTGTTTAACTGATAACAGTAGCGAGTTTCAGGTAGATGTGTGGAGAATGAACCGATATGGAGTTGCGGATTCTTGGACAAGAGACGTCATATTGAAGAAACGGATCCCTTCCGATCTTCGCAATTTTCCACTTATTCCAATTACGACGTTGATGAATGGAGACTTGTTGATGTCCCGGGTGTATGGTCAAAGTCTAATATCTTTTGACCCGAAGAGGAAGAAGTGTCGTAAATATGGTACTTCTGATATTGAGGGGACTGTTTGTTTTTTGTTTGGGTACATTCCTAGCTTTGTTTCCCCATCACAACTTTCTGAGAGTAAAGTACTGTTGGCATCAACATCTTCTCATCGTTAGTTTTTGTATAATTTGGAAATGTGGTTGTTACCCGAAAAGGTAGCAGTGTCTGCATAATTTGTATTATTTAGAGTGAATGTATGTATGGATCAGTTGTTTGTTTGTTTGGTGGAAGGAAGACAAAAACTCCCTTCACTTGGATGTGTTTCAAGTTAATGTTGTGTGACTATTATTGTAACATAAATATTTGACTGAGCCGGGCCTACCTCCCCCCTTTCATTAGGACTTTTAATTGAGTCGGGCTCACATGAAGCTCGATGATTAAGCCCAATATTACTTGAGTCGAACGTAGTTAATTGTGAGTCGGGCTGAATTTTAGTCATTTGAATAAGATTGAGAAGTTGATGAGCCGACTCCGAGTTTGGGCACATTATAGCTCAACCCAAATTAAGACCGATTAAATAAGTAATTTAAGTATTTGTTATATTTATTATTTGACATATTTATTAATGTTCATGTGTATACAAATATTACTATTACAAAAGTGTTATCATAGTGAATTATAATGTGAACCTAAACTCATACATTGAAGTTCTTTTAGAACTTACTAATATTTTCCCACCGTGCGAGGCACGGGATAATATTTCAAAAGCGAAGAAAACAGTTATTAAAATAAATTTAAATCAGAACTGTAACCGATGCTCAAATAAATGTGGCAGAAATGAACAAATAATTAGTCCTTTGTGACTAAATAGTAAATAATAGGAGATTTTGTAGTTATGTAATCTTTGTAGAGAGACAAAAAACAACGTGAAAAAACTAATTAGAGATATGTGGCTGGAAAATTAGAGTTTTAATTTTGACAATCAGTTGATATACACCCTTTATATGAAAAATATATAGGGCTATGGCCACCATAAAATTCTTTTTTTGAAATACCCCTAAAGAGAAAAAAGTACAATTATGCCCTTATGTGCAATTTTCGTCCAACTGCATTTAGTATTTTTGGACATGTATCTATAATTTTCGGTGATTTTTAATTTTAATAAAATTCATTTTGTTTATTTTCTATTCCTATATATATATTTTACTGGTTTTTTTTAGTTATTAGGGCACTGTACAAATAAACCCATCAAAGGTACTTACTTATTTATAAAGGGGTCCAGATATGGTTGTCAGAACCGGACCGGACCACCCGGCAGGAAAGCGGTCCAATTCAACCATCAAAACCGGGGAAAACAAAAACCGGGGTTTAAAGCCCAGAACCCTGTTCGACCGCTAAAAACCCGGGAACCGGCGAATCGGCCATAGAACCCGGTTTTTGATCAAAATGGTGCGTGTATAGCCAAAATTGGGTGGATCTCGCCGTGGGTGGTCCGAGCTTTGTGCTTAATGGCCGGATCTTGGTGTTGGGTGGCCGAATCTTGGAATATGGTGACCGGATCTTGATGTTTGGTCCACAATCATAATGACTGAAAAAAAAAAAATAAAGAATAAACAAGACCAATGAAGGAAGTTGAGGAATGAAGGAGATAATGATCTGTATGAAGACAGAGAAAGAATTAAGAAAATAGATGGAGAATGATTATGCAATTGTTTGGGTCAGCATTAGTGATACCGGAAAATATCTTGTAGGATACTTTTCCAACATTAGTGATATCATATGTGAAGGAATATTGAATGTGTGAGATCGTGCACAAGCAAATACCTTTCGTCAACATTGTTTGTTCTATTAATACAACCACATTAACCTCCTTCCGAGATAAAATTCTTCCGACAAGAATGAGTTATGTGGACCTCCTCTTCTAGTATAGACGTGTGCTTATACCTAAAAGTATAGTAAGCCATTGAATATCACACCAAACTATCAGAGTTCAAAATTTTTTTCCAACCCATTCTCAACATTGTTTGTTTCATTTATGGTTGTCTGCTTATTAAACTCTTATATTTATGCATTTTTAATCTGAATGGTTTGCTGAGAAAGCTAGATTCGGTTATGGAGGAGTTCAGTGCATTCATGGTGGAGAAGGCTGCGTCGGCAGTGGAGCAAGGGTGGTGGGGGCGGTGGTTAAGGAGGTTTCTCCAGCGGATATGGAGAATAAAAAGGAGGACGTGGGAGAATATGGATGCCGCTCCACGATCGCTTCGAACATGGAGGATTACAGTAGGAGCGTAACGAGGATGATAGTTGCTGGTTCGGGGCCGGTGATTAGAGGGATATTGTGGGGTGGTGGTGTCACTCTTGATAGGCTGAAATGGGGTGGTGATGGTGTGGTGTGACGGCGGCGTGGTGACGAGGAGGAGCAGATCTAGGGTTTTTGGTAGATCAGGCGAAAGACGGTGCGGCTAAAGAAATTCGCGCAAGCTGGACCTTTAATCGACTATGTGTTTTTTTGGTAGTCGATTAAGCTTGATTAAGGTTGATCGACTATGTTCTGGCAGTCGATTAAGGTTGATCGACTCCATTTTTTTTTTTTTATTTTGAATTTTTTGTTTATTGATTCCAAGTGTATAAATCAATTATAATGTTTGTATATTTTTTGTTTTTTGTAAAATATAGTTGATTTTGCATTTTTTTCGCAATTGTGATTTGTTATGTTTAGTAGCAGATTCTTAATCGACTATGCTTCACCATAGTCGATTAATATACCTGATATAGAAAAAATAAATTAAAAATTAAAGATTTTCCTTAATCGACTATGAAGCATAGTCGATTAAAAAAGCGGAAAAAAAAAATCGCTGAGCGCGTGACCCAGTGATATGTGACGGGCGGGGGCCAAGCTGGAAAACATAATGACTCAAAATAGATGTGGACTTTTCTCAAATGAACTGAAATATTTTGGACACATCCATTAAAAAAAGTAATGAGGGGTTTCCTCAAAGAGCCCCTTCAATAAAATACAAATAAATATCATTTTATTAACAAAAAAACTTTTTAGATACTTTATTCAAACCTCAAAATAAATGGAAATATTTATATGTAAAAGTAAGAAACATTAGGGTAAACTAAAATAAATGGCATATTTGTAATATTTTATAAAATTAATTATTATTATTCGTTGATCTCCTATTTGGGCTATTACAAGCTGTTTTGTCGTCCGATGACTTTCATAGTAATTCAGATTTGCAAATTCACCAGTTAAATTATAAATAGTGTTTTTCTTTTTTTAATTATTTCTTTCTCTTACACATCACATCGATGTAAATTTATTTTTTTGTACTATTTAATTATTAAATATTTAATTTTTCTTAAGTTTTGCAATACGGAAAATTGCTAGTATAATTTTAAAAGGAGCTTATTGCAAAAACTACCCCTGTGAAATCTCTAATTGGCAAATACCCCCCTGTGGAAAAAAATGTGACCAACTCCCCCCTGTGTTATGAATTACAAAGCTCACCGCACCCATTGCTTTTTTAAACATTGACCGCGTGTGAAACTACCATTATACCCCTCAGTGAAATAAACAGCAGTAAACCCATTTTCACTCTCTCTATTTCACTCTCGCTCCCAAATTACACCTACCTCTGAAAACCCTAAAACACGATTCACCAAAAAAATTTTCAATCTGCTTGTGAAAAAATGCTTTTTGCGTCGATTGAAACTTGAAATAGCTTCCCCTCTCGTCGATTGAAGGCGCCAAGAAGTCATATTTGAGATACGGAGTCAAGAATTAAGGTTTGTAGTATTCTGTCTTGTTTGTGTTATTTGAAAAAACCACATCTTTTTTCTCGATAACTAGAGTTGTGGGAATGTTAAAGTATGTAGGCTTTTGTATTTGTAAGGTTTTGTATATTATATTCGCGAGTTGGGAACTTTTTGAGAAATGCTACATTTAATATTTTAGTTTGTGGGGATCTGTTTTTTTGTTTGTTTGTCTGTAACAACAAGATTTTTTGCTTTGTAGGGTTTTTTTAATTATTTTTTGGTATCAGTTTTTTATGACCATTTTTTGTTGTCTTGTTGTTTGAATTGAAAATTTTAAAAAAATGGTGTGGGGTATGTAGAAGTAGGGCACTTTGTTACTTTGTTGTTGAACTTGCAAAGTAATAATAATAATTAATTGAACAATTGTGTTTGACTGTTTTTACCATTTTTTATGCAGAATGAACAAGTTGTGTACAGTTACTATTTGGTTGAATGGTAAATTTGTCCATACACCCAAACTGGCTTATGTAGGTGGCAAAATGGAAGTAGTGGATCGAATTTGCTTAGACTACATGAACCTAGATAACCTATTCCAGATATATCGTATGAGTGGGGGGGAAAAAACTAATATTCAGTTCTACTTTGTTTATCCTGGGCTATCACTTCATGAGGGATTGAGGATGATTGAAGATGATATTAGTATCCAATTCCTAGTGTCAGCACATGAAGACTTAGACCACCTAACATTGTACACAGAAGAGAATGACAGAGAACCTTTAATTGCAATTGATGTGAATGGAAATGTGATTGTGGATAAAGGGGAAACTCTCCTGCTTAAGTACAGTGAAGGGAATACAAGAGAGACAGTAGAGACTGTAAACATTGAAGATGATGCACCAATGGATGAATATGGGACACAAATGAATGAAGATGAGGCACCACTGAATCAAGAGGAGGAAAATGAGACACCAATTACTGAAGATGAGGCAGCACTGAATCAAGAGCCATTGAATCAAGAGGAGGCACCAATGAATGAAGATGAGGCAGCACTGAATCAAGAGCCACTGAATCAAGAGGAGGCACCAATGAATGAAGAAGAGGCAACACTGAATGAAGAGGAGGCATCACTGAATGAAGATGAGCCAGTTAATAAAGAAGATGCACCAATATTTGAAGATGATTCTTCAGATGAAGATTATGTTCAATCTGACAATGAAGATGGTGATGATGATATACCCTCTGATGCCCCAAGTGAAGAGTTTGCTGACATTGAAGGCTCCTCTGAAGATGATATCTTTTTGGACAGAAATTCAAGTAAGAAAGATCTAGCTAGAAAACTGAGGCAAATGCTGAACAAGGAAAAGAGGTCAGTCCAGAGGTATAAAAAATGCAGAGTCAATCCATCTCAACAGACCACTGATTGGTATAGTGATGTTGATGATGAAGATGATATTGAAAATCTGAATTTCTTAGACAGTGAGAGGAGAAGAGTTCCTAGTTTCAGTGAAGGGGAAACAATGAAAAACAGAAATCTTGAAGTTGGTATGAAGTTTCCAAATGTAGACATTTATAGGAAAGCACTTATAGATTGGGTTGTTAGAAATGGATATGAACTGGAGTACTTAAAGAATGAAAGGACAAGAGTGACTGCAACATGCAAGGAAGAGGCTTGCAAATGGAGGATCCATGCCTCTGTTGTTCAAGGAAGTCAAATGTTTCAGGTATTGTGTTTTCTTTTGGTTTATGTTTCTTCATTGTTTTCTTTTGATCCCAATGATATTAATGAATTTATATGTTATGTTTGCAGGTTAAGACCCTAACAGGTGAGCACACATGTTCAAGAAAAAGGGAGAACAAACATGCCACTGCCAAGTATCTTGGAATGAGGATGGAACAAGGCATTAAAGACAATGCAGATATTGGTATTCAAAAGTTTCAAAACAGTATACTGAGGAAGGTTGGGGTTGAATCTAGTTACTGGAAAGCATTAAGGGCAAAAAGAGTAGCAATGACCAAGATAAGAGGCCAAGATGAGAAAGAATACACCCAATTATGGGATTACTGTGAGACCCTCAGAAGCACTAATCCTGGAACAAAGGTATTGCTTAGGAAGTTGTATCTCTCTGACCCCCCAGTGTTTGAAAGAATGTTTTTCAGTCTTAAAGGCATGAGGATGGGATTTTTAGAAGGTTGTAGACCATTGATTGGTCTAGATGGCTGTTTTCTCAAAACACCACATGGGGGGCAACTGTTATGTGCAGTTGGTAGGGATGGGAATGACAACTTATTCCCAATTGCTCTTGCTGTGGTTCCTATTGAAAACAGGGAGATGTGGACATGGTTTCTGTCTGAATTGTTGGATGTCATTGGTGGTGCTGAGGATGGGAAGTGGACATTTATTTCTGATAGACAGAAAGGGCTGTTGGAGACCATTAAGGAGATTGCCCCAGGTGTCCTCACAGATTCTGTGTTAGGCACATATACCAAAATTTTAAACAAAAATGGACTTCATTAGAGTTAAAACAGTTGTTGTGGAGGGCTGCTTCAACAGGAAATACTAATGAATTTCAACAACATTTGAGGGCAATTGAGAGGATTGATGCAGGGGCAGCCAAATGGTTGAGGGAGATAGAGCCTTACCATTGGTGTAGAGCTTATTTCAGAAGAGGATGCAACTCTGATGTAGTTGTGAATAATCTGTGTGAGTCTTTCAACAACTTCATTCTTCAAGCAAGAGAGAAGCCAATTGTTAGTATGTTTGAGTGGATCAGAGCAAGACTAACAACCAGAATTCAGGTAAAAAGGGAGGGCATGGAGAAGTATGAGGGCCAAATCTGTCCAAACATACTTAAAAAGATCAACAAGTATGAGAAATATGCAAGAAACTGTTTCCCAAGATGGTGTGGGGGAGATGAATTTGAGGTTGAAGCATATACTGATAGATATGTGGTTCATCTTGACAAGAGGACCTGCACTTGTGGTATGTTTCAGCTCAATGGATACCCATGCCCCCATGCATGGACTTGTATATTGGACAGAAGATTGAAAGTAGAAGACTATGTGGACCACTGTTATTCAAAAAGCATGTATTTGAAGGCTTATAGTCACATGGTACATGCAGTTCCTGGACCAAGAGACTACATAATCACTTCACATGAGCCACTTCTACCCCCAATGTACAAGAAAAAGGCTGGGAGACCTAAGAGGTTGAGAAGGAAGGCCCCTGATGAGATTCATAGGACTTCAACAAGAAGAGGCCTCACACATAGACATGGCCACGGGTCGGGTCTGACCCGGACCCGGCCCGGACCCGACCCGTTGACTGCCCCGCCCCGCCCCGGACCCGGCCCGTTGACCATGGACCCGGACCCGGACCCGGCCAAGTACGGGTCGGTTTCGGGTCCCGACTTCTTAGACCCGAGACCCGCCGGGTCTACCCGGCGGGGGGACCCGAAGACCCGGACCCGAGGGCCCGGCCCGAGGACCCGTCGGGTCCACCCGGATTTTTGATGAATTAATCACCAAAAATGCAGCGACTGGGGTTCGAACCCGGGTAGCCCGAATCATTCACTGAGCACCAACCACCAGGCCAACCAATATGTTTGATTAAATATAGACAACAAATGTATATAATATAAACCTATGGCGTAAATGATAAATATGTTAAATAAATTATTAATTTTCATATTAATTATTATTAAATAATTAGCAAATGCAATATAAGAAAAATATATATAATCACAATTCAATACTTCAAAACATCTATTATTAATTAATATATCAATATAAGCTCCACTGTTGAAAAATATAAAGTATTGAATCAATTCAATATATAAACAAATGTGTTGACTTATGTTATTAAAATCGATAGTGTGAAAAAATCGAATGAAAAATAAAATAATATGTTTATTTAAAAAAACAAATTATAACCCATTTCAATTAATTTAAGTCGATTAACCTCAATTGTTGACAATAACTTATTAATATTATTGAGTATTTTATCATAAGATAATTATTTATATAAATGGTGTTTATTTTAACAAAAATAGATTATATCCCATTTCAATTAATATTCTTACTTTAAAAATAACATTATATATGACTAGTATAATCAAAATATTATGATGTAATTTCTCTTTTAATAATTGATTTAATTTGTAAAAATCGTAGGAATTAAATTGTAGACCATATGATTTAATCGTTTTTTTACATATACATTTTATTCAAATATTAGAATCGAATCGTAAGATTTAAATGGATTAATCTAAAGTCCTTTTAATTTTGATATTATATTTGTTAATAATGTAATTAAAATGGTTTAATAATTATGAATATGAAAATTAACAATGCATTTAACATTATTTATTATAATCATTTCATACTGTTTTGTTTATGTTTATCTATATTTCTTGCAAGCAATTTCACAAATATTTATCTTGTCTCAGTGGTTTGGAATTCTTTTCAGGTGTCTTGTGACCCGGGTTCGAATTCCATCCATAACAATTTTGGACAAAATTTAAAAATCCGGTCCGGACCCGGACCCGGCCCGGAACCGACCCGGAACCGGGTGGACCCGAGTGGACCCGGCCCGGACCCGGACCCGCCTTCCCGCGGGTCGGTTTCGGGTCCTCCAAAACTCGGACCCGGACCCGGCGGGTCCGACCCGGAACCGGACCCGACCCGACCCGGGGCCATGTCTACTCACACATACATGCAAGAATTGCCTTCAGCAAGGACATAACCGGGCATCATGTAAGAATCCAACAAATCCAGCCTCTAAATTTTACAAGGTAAGCTTTTTTTTTATGTACATAATTTCTTGTACATTTTGTATAATTATTATAGATTTTTGATCAATTATTGCATGTGTCATAGGGGAATTCCAGTGGTGAACCAAATGCCCAGACCACTTCTGCACCAACAGCCCAAACCACTTCTGCACCAAGAGCCCAGACCACTTCTGCACCAAGAGCCCAAACCAGTTCTGCAACTAGAGGTCAAACCACTTCTGCACCAAGGAAATCCACTACCCCAAGTAACCCTTCTGCACAAAGGAACTTCACTGCACCAAGGTCTCAAAGTAATTCTGTTGCACCAAGTACTGAAAGAATGGCCCAAGCAAATGCTGAAACAACTGCTGCAGCTCCTATTTCTACTCAAGAATCAGGAGTAGGTTTGGAAAGAGCACAACAGCCTTCAACAATTGGAAAGGTTGTATGATACTAGTGTTCTCTCTCTCTCTCTCTCTCTCTCTCTCTCTCTCTCTCTCTCTCTCTCTCTCTCTCTCTCTCTCTCTCTCTCTCTCTCTCTCTCTCTCTCTCTCTCTCTCTCTCTCTCTCTTGTTTTTTTTTTATTGAGATGGCTATATGTTTGCAACTTACCTCTATTTTTTAAATTTCTTTTTGTAGGTGTATGTGGGAAGGAGAAATGCAACCCTACTTGGAGGAAGTTCAAGCAACCCCATTGCCAATAAAAGGATAAGGAAGCCAGAGATCTCTCAAGTTCTGCAAAATATAAGGGAGAATGCCAAGAGAAGGAGACAGTGAAGCCTTAGAAGTCCTTTGTTGTGTGTGTGTGGCTTTTGAAAATTGTGTAATTGTTTTGGCTGCATTTGAAGGCATTTGAAGGCTACTGACTAGGATAGTTTTTGTATGATTTCTCTTGAATTTGGCTGTGATTGGTTTTGTACTTTGAATCTAGATGATTATCACTTTTGGATGACATTTTGGTTTTGAACTTGAACCTAATTGGAAGATTATGTTTTTAGTAATTTGCAGTGCAATTATGTTTTTAGTAATTTGCAGTGCAATTAGTGTTGTTTATGTGTGTGATTGCATTTTTTAGCAACAGGGAGTTGTTTATGTGTGTGATTGCATTTTTTTTAGCAAACAGGTTGTTTTTGCAAATTACATTTCACTTCAAGGTTGATTTTGCCAATTTTTATTACAAATTTTCTCATTTTGTAAGAAATGTGTAACAGAATCATAAACATAAACAAAAATGATAAGAAAAAAAAAACTTCATTCCAACATCAAAGCTTCATTCATTACAATCATAATTGAAACTAATTGAAACAAAAATAGCTAAAAAAAGGTTTTTTTACAGCTTCAACAACAAAAGAATGACCATAATAAACAATGCTAAACAAATAACCCAAGAAATATGCAAAATTGCATCACTTTTTCTTCCTTCAATCCCGTTAGACATTACTTCACGTGGCTCATCTACTTCATCCGAAAAACCTTCTGCAGAGGCTTCCCAATTCGAAAATCGTACAGCAACCCCCATCGGCTCCCAAGTTGCTCGAGTTGGTTCACACCAACGAAAAAAATTGCAGCATCGATGTTCACAGGAGTAGTACAACTTACCCTTTGATGGTTTCGTTGATGATTCAACCACTTTTATTATTGCTTTCATTTTGCATAGACATAGAGGAGTAATCCCATACCTCAAATCCATTAATGGCTTCGAATTACTTCTCCTCGCTGTGTTGCTAGACGAATACGACGACATTATCAGAATATCAATGGAAATCGAGATAAAATCACAGAGCAATTGAAGGTTGAACTTGAGCGGCTGCAATTAGGGCTTTGAAAGAAAAGAAAAGAGAAGAGAATTGGGGATTTTAAATAGGATTGGGGTGGGCATTTATGACATTTCACAAGTGAAAACAAAGAAATATTCGCACAAAGTGCGCGTGAGATACACGATTTAGCTTCAGGGGTCCAGATGCTTTGACTTTGATAACACAGGGGGGAGTTGGTCACATTTTTTTCCACAGGGGGGTATTTGACAATTAGAGATTTCACAGGGGTAGTTTTTGCAATAACCTCTATATAATAAGATGGTTTACACTTTTTATTTATTATAAATAAATAAAAATTAAATAGAGATAAGTACTGCCATGAATTCTTTCAAATCCCTTGATAAATGCAGATAAATAAAAAAGAGAAATTATTGAAATTTATAAATTGCAGGAAGTGTATTTAATTAATTATGAAAAAGTAAGGACTTTTTTTCTTCATAAATACACTTTACCTCAGGGGCGACTGTAACTTATCCATTTTTATTTATTAGGGATAACACCTATTATGTTATACTTCACGGAATATCTACGTATTTGAACGGAGTCCTTCCCACTCGATCATATGGTCAAACTTGCTTCAGACAGGTCAATGCAAGCCGACTAATTTATGCGAGTCGTCTAACTTTTTATTAGTTAACTAACTTTGTTAGTTAACTGTTTTTATTAGTCAACTAAGATTTATAATTAGTTGACTCTATTAATCGACCAAATTTTTAGTTAGTCGATCAAAATTTCTATGCACATTGTTAGATATCAATTGAAGAGATATTTCAAATCAACTAAATCCATATGAGACTAAATCAAGTCATTTATTTTTTTTCTTAATTATATAGTTAATTGGCTATTTTTTTGCTAG